TTCAGCTTGTAACATGACTATACTATTGAATAACAATGAGGAGTGTATCTTTGAGTTAAATAGACAAATATTTTGATTGAATAAGACTTTCTACTTTCATTTTGTTTATTTTAAAGGGATATTTCTTTTTCTATCTTTTTTTGTATGTTTATCAAGACATTTATGGTTTCCATTGCATAATTCCAATTGTCCATCAGATGTATATGGTTATTTAAACGCATATATGACATCTCTTTTGCAATTGCACTTAATAATATCTAAGTAATAGATCATGAAAGCACTTAGTTTTAGTGGAATCGCAAGAACCATAGACTTGTGATGAAAATCTCTTAAACAATCCCTTTAAATATTTTCATTCAAGGGAGATTGTCTCCAGAGTCTCCATTAATGATAATAATCTATGTGATCTACTGTACCAGGAAGTGCAGTTGGAATGATCTACCTTTTACTGACAGTTATAGAATGATTTAATCTATATACAAACAGGGTTTACTTAAAAAATCTCAGAAATTATCTTACAAAATAATTAAAAAACTACAAAGTGCAAAAAAAAGATTTGTAAAAACAAGATGTAAAATATCAGTGCATTTCAATGGATTTCGATATTGTGTTTATATTTCTCTTCAGCTATTGCACATTTTGATTAATTGAAACATTAAAGCATTGAAAGTTTTCATTTTCATATTGTTTTACTTTTTATTCATTAATTGCCTTCAATTTTTATACATTTATTTAAAAAATAAAGGCACTGAAAACTGTTCATATTTCTTTGCTGTTTATGCATTGAACACTTTTTTAGCAATGAAAACATTACCTGGTGAAATTTCTTGTTATCATTTAAAGAAATATAGGTGATGAAATGGTTGTTATCAAATAGATAAGAATTTGCTGTTATTTTCATGGCTCTATGATTATAACATTATTATAACATTTTTTTAAAAGATAAAACATATTTAAAATTCAGTAAAATATAGATAATTTACTGGGGAAAACAAGTATTCAATTATATTTTTTCTGACAATCAGTAAATCTTCCGTTTCTATAAGATATACATCTATTAAACTAATGACCTACTTTCTGCCATTACTTTCAGACATTTTCTTTAAATATTTGGCATTATTTAAAATATTTGCCAGATCTTCCATTGGCAGTGGTGCCAAATTATTGAGAATTTTTACTCTAATGTACTGAGAGTTTTATAGCAGATTAAGACAGGGTTGAATGAGGTGCAGAAAATGTTCTTTAAATCTTATTCACTGATTGCACTCAGATAGAGATGTTTGGTACTTGATCAAACCCATGAATTTATTGCTCTGCGCACTTTGTGATAGGGTCATTAGGAAACTAAAGAGTGGGTGCATGTTAGTATCCACTTATGATTGGAACTACATGTTAAGATTATTTCAATAGGGTAACAAAGGGATAATTCATACACTAGCTGTGTGTCAATTTTGGTAAAATCTAGATTGAAGTGAATTTCTATTTGAAAGTTTAATACCGGGCACATTGATTTTGCTTTTTTTTTCTATGGGTACGGGTATGTTAGTTTTTTCTTTATGATTGGAAGTAATTGTTATAATTATTCCAGCATGACTTAAAAACAAGTATGTAGGAGTTACTTCCTGTACAGTTATAATATAGAACTGGAATACAATGCTAGGTAAAGAATACAAGAACATGGCCTGGGGCTATATCTATTTTTATTCTGACATTATGTCAATTTAAATGTCATTCACAATCAGATGATATAATCTGCTTCCAGGACTGACCTTTCATTCTCAAAAACTGAAGAAATTTGTGCAGAATTGAAGGATATTTATATCATTTCTATGTACCTATATATGATTTCAAGTGTGACCTCTCAAGGGAACCTGTTAAAGATATTTCCTGTTCTTTAGAAGCTTCTTACTGCCTTTAATATATCGGAACGCAATTAATTTTGCACTTTTTTGAATCCTCAATGATTCTAATGTCAAGGACAAAAATGATTCAGTAATTCAAAGGACTAAAATAGAATCAACATCATGGAATAAGATGTAAAATAAAGTTAAATGATTTCGTTGAGCCATGGTTTTGAGCTCATGGATCCCATGTAGGTCTGTTCTACATCTTTCCTTGGTTGTGGTATCCAAATCAGGGTCATGTTTTATGATTTTGATAATGTGAACTAGGAATGGATCAGGGCTGCTGGTATCTTGTGTTATCCGGCAGTATGGTAGCTCTAAAGGTGTGTGACATCAATTTTTCGTTTACACACTGTGTTAAACTGGATACGTATCCAAGTGTTCTTACTGCAGATATCGCTTGGTTCCCTGTAAGATGGTAGCAGGGAATCGGGCAGCTTCTGGCTTCTGGAAGCTGGTTGGATGTATCATGGAAACCCTGGCTAAGGGAGAGCCTGGTTTACTCGCCCTTAGTCTTATGTTAGGGGTTTCATCAGCGTGGTCATCAACTATGGTTATCATGGACATTGTGTCCACATATCCCGAAAACATCATCGACATTTTTTCTGGTTTTGAAGGGGTCTCTTTAAGACATAATTTAAATTTAACTCAAATCTAACTTTGAAATACTAGGCCTTCTAAGAATTTCTTCTCTCGATTCCTATAAAAGATTCAGTGAAACTGTCTGGAATCTTATCATTTGATGCCAGATAAACGCTGATTAAATTATTAAACATCAACCGGAGACTTGAAGCCATGAACACCTGTGAAATATCGCGAATAAAACACAAAACAAACCAGTGTTTACGCTAATAAACTACACCATCAAGGAAACCATGCTGGTAGACTAAAGAGAATTACTCTCTTAAATCTCTCCCTTACAAATTTATCTCTAAAACAAAAATGGTCCATTATAATATGCAGATGTTTTGGCATATTCTGAGGACAACGGGGGAAAGACGTAGAGACTTAAAACTTAAACCAGTGATTGTTGTTCCATAAAGCTGCGTGGATATGTCGTATTCACAATTGCTCAATGCCATTTAAAGACTTTCTTGGCATATTGGTTATATTGTTCTTGAGCTTAAATTTTAATCTTCTTAATATTGTCTAGACTTTTTGGCATGAGCTTAAGCTAAAGGGAAGTTACTCAAACAAAAGATGTTGATTATGCTGAATTAATTAATCATGTCCACAAATGTTTCAATCCTTAACCAGAATCATTGTCTCTTTCAAATATGTTCTGCTTTTAGTCCAATAGAAGGTTGACATTTGAACCAGGGTTTGATTCTGGCATACAATTTTCAACACGATTTTGCTTGGACCAGCTACAGGCTGGATCCAGGTCAGAGGGACTGACATGGAAAAAATGTAAAATACCATTACATTGTTTCAATGTCAATGTCATTTTTTGGCAACAATTTAATCAAAATCAGATCTGAGTTAATCACAAAAGTTCTTCATCTTGTGAAGTTTACAAACATCAGCAACGATTAACTGGTAATTTTAAAACAGCTGGTTCGCGTAATAAACTCGAGTCTTCATTTTGTTAAACATTCTGACAACTACACAGCCAATTTCGTTCAGATTTCAATTAACAACGCTGAACTTCAATAGGAATTCATAAACAAAGTCCGGCCAAAATTTGTTTTGAAAAGTAAGCTATGAATGTCTAACAAGCATGCCAAGTTACATCCAAAGCCTTTCAAAACCGGGCCTTGTGGTAATCACAAGCAATTGATCATACAACCAGACATGAGTAACAACATAATGTGGATGTTTGAAAAATATAAGAATTGGTGAAATGATCACGTATAGAATATATAAATATATATCTCATTGAAGGGATTAACAAATCTCGAAGTATGTAAACACATCAAGATTTGACATAGATAAATTTATCAGGGAAGTAGGCGTATCTTGCTCAGCAACTACTTGTTACTTTAGTGAGACCTGGACTGTAGAGTTTAGAAATTAAATGAAAATATCTAATACTGCACCTTGATCAGAATGCTAAATGTTTAAAGCTTAAGTTACTTCAAAGAAAATTTGATAGTGTTTTAACAAAATATATAAGAGTAATGGGATAAAATACTCATTAAATATTTAAATCAATCTAAAATATTAACTAGTTTGAAATGAAAAGATGTAAGCATTGATTTAAAGTGTGACACCTTTCACATTCAGTCATATTGGTTAGTTTTAGGGAATGGTGATGTTGATGTTTTCTTACCATTTCAACCAGCAGTGGCAGCAGGCCCGTAGGTAGCCCACGGTCTCAGGGAGAGCCAAATGATTTGAAATAGCGACTCAACAAGTCATTTAAGTCATCTAAATTTTTCAGGGGGGGCCTGGCCTTGGCTATTTTGACTTGGGGTCATTTCAGTTCAGTGCAAAATTGATTACAACACCCTGGTAGAGGTGGTAGTTAAAAGCCTAATCAAAGAATACAATGATGAATTAATATTCATTAATATTTTGATGAACTATTATCAAAAACTATAACTATTTTAATCATAAAATAAAGCCAACCATGCATATAAAAATCTAATGAAACATGATATATAGAGCAAAACCCCCTAGAAAAACAGTACTGAATTGTCTACCTCTATGAAAACTTACCAACATAGGCTATATAAGAGTCCTGTAATCTGGCATCAAATATGAACTTTAACAATCTACTTTGTCCTACTCCTGCAGGCATTATCACTGATCTTTTTTTTCATCTGATACACTTTTCTATCATGAATAATGAAATATAAATGAGAACATCCGGAAAACTCTCATTAAAAAATGAGTCAGACTCTCATCTTGCCAGTTGTCTAGTTAGATATGTTGTTGGGAATCCTTATAAAAACATCTAGGTCACTTTCATTTACAAAAAGAAATTTGCTTTTAAAAGATAGGTCATTCATAATTAACATAATACAGAATTTTTTTACCTTTATGTTGAACTTTGTTTGATTAAAAATCTTTACATTGTGACTTAGGCCATTGCTATTATGAGACTATGTTTTAATCTGATATCTAATGTCTTAATATTTTGATATTTTTCAGGTTTTCTGCTATTTAAGGATTTTTGTAATACTGTATTAGAAGAACAAGTACCACAGTTGAAATTTTATGAAGAGGTAAGAATCTCTAATCTTAAATAAACATCACCAGTTTACAATCTGAACCTACTCATGCAGACATATTCATGTATTTAAAGAAATCTTCAAGCTTTATGGGCTATAACTTTTTTGATATACAAGATTCTCATAATGATGTACAAAGTTACACATTGTATTTGTCAAAATTATACACAAATTACACATTCATTTCATAATAATATACAAAAATTACACATTACATTTCTCATAATGATATACACAAATTATACAACGCATTTCTCAAAATGATATACACAAATTATACAATGCATTTCTCAAAATGATATACACAAATTAAACTTTACTTTCTCATATTGATATACAAAATTACACATTGCAATTCTCATAATAATATACAAAATTACACATTACAATCTCATAATGATATACAAAATTACACATTACATTTCTCATAATAATATACACAAATTAAACTTTACTTTCTCATAATGATATACAAAATTACACATAACATTTCTCTTAAAGATATACAAAGTTACTTCTCTGATTTTCTGATGCATACCTAATGATAATTCACAATCATATTTACTTATTGAATTTCTGCTACATAAAAAATTACATATTTATTCGATTAAATATATATTCAAATGATAATATTTTTATTCATATTCTTTGTTTTTTGTATACATATTTATCATTTACAAGTTAACACAATGATCTGTCTCATTTCAAATCTACACACATTATATTCTACATAGCGTATACATAACTTTAAACTACTATCATTGATACACATTATGCTAAATATTTATATTGTTCAAGTGGTAAATTGCAGTTCTATCTCATAATCATTGGCATATAAACTTGAGTATCATTGTTTCTTGAAATGGATAAACCTGGGCAGAATATAAGGTAGGTAATATCACTGAATATTGAAATTGAATACCTTGTTTAAACTAGCCTATAGAAATCTGCATTTAGGTGCAGGGCTTTTTTTCAAAAAATCTTCAAATAGTGGCACTGTTGCCTAATGTTTTTAAATTTGTCAGAAAATTCTCACAACAATATACAAATTGATTTGATTTGCAGATTTTCTTGAACAATCTTGATTTAAGCCAAGAAATAATTTATGGCAAATTGCGAATTGCATTAATATTATATTATAATTGCAAATATATTATATATATATTGCCTGTATATATCAAATATATTGTATATATATTTTGCCTGTATATATCAAATATATTGTATATATATTGCCTGTATATATCATATATATTGTATATATATTGCCAGTATATATCACATATATTGTATATATATTGCCTGTATATATCAAATATATTGTATATATATTGCCTGTATATATCACATATATTGTATATATATTGCCTGTATATATCAAATATATTGTATATATATTGCCTGTATATATCAAATATATTATATATATATTGCCTGTATATATCATATATATTGTATATATATTGCCTGTATATATCATATATATTGTATATATATTGCCTGTATATATCAAATATATTATATATATATTGCCTGTATATATCACATATATTGTATATATATTGCCTGTATATATCACATATATTGTATATATATTGCCTGTATATATCACATATATTGTATATATATTGCCTGTATATATCAAATATATTGTATATATATTGCCTGTATATATCACATATATTATATATATATTGCCTGTATATATCACATATATTGTATATATATTGCCTGTATATATCACATATATTGTATATATATTGCCTGTATATATCAAATATATTGTATATATATTGCCTGTATATAACAGTATATTGATATAGCTGCCTGAAACAACAGTAATACACTGTAGATAAATAGTTGTACATTGATTATTTAATGAGCTTTCAAACCAGATATTATTGGATCATACAGACAATCTACATTGGACCACACCTTGATACATTGTGTGACTACTAGTTATCATAGACAATGTTGTGTATTTAGTCATTGTTAATGATTATTTCCACTGAATTTTTGTTGAGTCATCGGTTTACAGAGGGTGGTAGGGGCTAGATTGTGGTTAGGGGCAATATTTTTTCTGTATGTCATTGTAAATGATCTATTTCTAATGAATTTTGGTGAGTCATCAGTTTAAAGAGGGGGAACTATAGGGTGGTCGGCCAATGATTTGTATAGAATACAAGTTATCATAGACATTGTAATTCATTGTTAACAATTACTTCAACTGATTTTAAGTTGAGTCTTTGGCTAAAAAGGGAGAAAGTTTATTATCTGTAAAATTCATTGCTGGCGATTCATTTAAGTCCTTTGTTGTGGTTTCCAGTGTATGTCATTGAGTCATTTGGACTGAAATACGGAAAGGGGCTGAGATATATTAATTGAAGAATTCACTGATAGTGATTTATTTCCACTGACTATGGTTAAGTCATTGGT